TCTTGATGCCCTTTCCCTCCAAATGAAGTGAGTAAGATATAGAAAATGGACTATAGCTCACTGGTAGAATTCAAAGTTGGTCAGCAGTTTTGCCAACTTCCCTGAATTTCTAAAAGGAGAAATAAGGAGCCTTTTCTTCGTGTTTGGGTGAAGTTACTTTGGACCAGTTCCAGCTTGCCTGGGTGGCAGTGTGCAGTGGGAACACAGGCTGCTTTTGGATACACCGGGCTTTTTTAAGCCAAACCTATGTTCACCGCAGTAATTAGGGCAGGCCTGGTCTGTGCAAAATTGAAAGCAGTCTTGGTAAACGACGGCTCAGGCTTCTAAAGGCCTGTTTGGTTCCCTGCCTTTGCCTCCAACAATTCCCGAGGGAGTAGAGACTCGCTTTAACCCATGAGTGAGGCTGTGTGTGCTCCTTGGGAAGTAAACTTTTAAACTCATAAGCAGAGCACTGGAAAGACAGCTCTTGTGTCAAGTCGGAGGTGCTGCATTTGAGTCGTGCGGGCAGGGCCATCATGAATAGTAGGTGTGTTGGCTGCCTGTCTCGGGGTGGGGGGTGGGGGGCAGGTGGGGCTGAAGTCCTGACCCAGCTCCTTGCCGAGCCTGCGGGAACCTTCCTCTGATTCACACAAAGGTGCTGTGACCCTTTGCCTAGAAGCTCACCAGAGAAATCGCTTCTCCTTTCTCTGTACTCGGATGCTTGCTGTTGCACGTAATGTGGAGAATGTGAAGCATCTTTGTCTCCATGGTTCTGGAACATTTTAACTATTGTCCTCTGGGGCGGGGGAGGGGCAGTCGGGGTGATGTCGCCAGAGAGAGTGCAGGAATGGGTGGAGGAGGGGACAGGGAGGAAGGAGAGCTGAGGATTGATTTGAGTCCTGTTTCCCCTCTGGGTAGGTTCTGATCCACTGTTGCCACTTGTTGAAATTATTCGGCGCTTAGGGTTTTCTGAGCGTCACCTCTTCCTACCAGTCTCTCTTCCTTTGGCCTCTAGTAACCTTCCCTTTCCACACCATGTAATTGGAACATATATCACTGTACTTGCTAGTTAACTTTTTTTTTTTTTACTTTTATTTTGAAATAATTATAGGTTCACAGGAAATTTCCCCTAATGGTTACATTTTATGTATCTATAGTGCAATATCAAAACCAGGAGACTGACATTGGTACAACGTATGTGTGGGATTCTGAGACTTACTATCACCTGTGTAGTTTTGTGTAACCAGCGCTGCTTATCAAGATACAGAACTGCCCCGTCACCACAGAGATCCCCCTCCCCTCTTTAGTCACACTCACCCTCTTTCCTCTACCAGCCCTAAATCCCTAGCAGCCACTAATTTTGTTTTCCACCCCTATGATTTTTTCACTTCAAGAATATTATATAAATGGAATCACATAGTATGTGAACTTCGAGAACCATCTAAGTTGTGTGCTTTAGTAGTTCATTCCTTTTCGTTGCTGAATAGTATTCCATGGTACAGAGGTACCACAGTTGAACCATTTGTTTCATTGAAGTACATCTGGGTTGTTTCTGGTTTGTGGCCATTGTGAATAAAGCTGCTGTGAACATTCCTGCACAGGTTTTTGTGTGGACATAAATTTTCATTTCTCTGGGATAAATGCCCAGGAGTGAGGTTGCTGGGTTGTATGTTAAGCGTATGTTGAATTTTTTTAAGAAACTGAAAAACGATTTTCTAGAGTGGTTGTCCCATTTTACATCTGCACCAGCAGTGTATTAGAGATCACATATCTCTGCATTTGTTGTCACTGCTTTTTGTTTTAGCTCTTTTAATAGACGTGACGTGTAGTGACGTCTCATCACAGTCTTAGTGTGCTTTTCCCTGATGGCCGGTGAACTTGGACATCCTGTTTTTCATCTGCTTAACTTGCTGTGTGTGTGCTCTCTGGTGAAACAGCTCTTCATGTATTTGTCCACTTTCCAACTGGATTGTTTGTTTTTTTAACTACTGAGTTTTGAGCATTCTTTGTATATTCTAAATATGAGTCCTTTGTCAGATATGTGGTGGGCAGATATTTTCTACCAGTTGCTAGCTTGTCTTTTTATTAAGAGAGTCTTTTGCAAAACAAAAGCTTTAATTTTGATGAAGTCCAGTTTATCGATATTTTTCTTTAATGAACCATGCATTTTGTGTCATGTCTAAGGACTGTTCGCCAAGTTGTAGGTCCTGAAGTTTTTCTCCTATGCTATAGTTTTACGTTTTGAGTCAGTTTTGTATAAGGTGTGAGGTTTAGGCCAAGGTTTTGTTTTGTTTTTTCCTTTGCTTATGGACATCCAATTCCTCCAACATCATTTATTGAAAAGGCTACTCTTTATTTAATTGCTTTTGGGTCTTCAAAACAATCAATTGTCCATACTTATGTGGGACCATCTCTGGGTTTTCTGTTACGTTCCATTGATCTGTGCTGTCTAGTCCTTCACCAGTACTGCATAGCCTTGCTTACTGTAGCTATGTAATAAATCTGGAAATTGGATTCCTCCCCCTTAATTTTTCTTTTTCACAATTGTTTTAGTTAATCCAGTGCCTTTCCATATAAATTTTAGAATAGTTATATCTATATCCATAAAAGATTTTGCTGGGATTTTATAGAAATTGTTAGGCCTGTATATCAATTTGGAGGGAATTGACATCATTATTATGTTGACGCTTCCAATCCATGAACATGGTATGTCCCTCCATTTATTAGATCTTTGATTTCTTTCATCAACACATTTCTTTCATCAACACATTTTATAGTTTTCAGCATACACGTCCTGTACATGTTTTGTTAGATTTATACCTAAGTGTTTCATTTTTGTGTGATTATTAATAGTATTGCATTTTTAATTTCAATTTCCATATGTTAATTGCTAGTATATAGAAAGCCAGGTGACTTTTGTAGGTTGATTTTTATATCCTATATCCTTGCTGAATTAACTTGAATTCTAGGAGTTTCTTTGGTATATTCCTTTGGATTTTCTACATAGACCATCATTTCATCTGTAAATAGGCTTAGTTTTATTTTTTTTCTCTCTAATCCATGTACCTTATATTTCTTTCCTTCACCTTAACCACACTGGCTAGAACCATGCTGAATAGCAGTGATAAAAGTGGGCATCCTTGTCTTGTTCTCATTCTTAGAGGGAAGCATTCAGTCTTTCACCATTGATTTTGATGTTAGCTGAGAGTTTTTGCCCATGTTCTTTATGAAGTTAAAGAAGTTCTCTATTCCTAGTTTTCTGGGAGTTTTTATTATTAGTGGGTGTTAATTTTTTTTTTTTTTTTTTTTTTTTTTTTTAAGAAGCCCTTGGGATACTGTAAATGCTCTTATTGAAGTCAGCCACCCTCTGATTAAAAAAAAAACCTTTGCAAGGCAGGAGGAGCTGGATTAAATTCTCCCCTGAAGTAACAACTTTAATTCCATGTGGAGAAAAGCATTAGAACCAATTGGAATGTGGGATCTTCCCGGACCGGGGCACGAACCCGTGTCCCCTGCATCTGCAGGCGGACTCTTAACCACTGCGCCACCAGGGAAGCCCAATGGGTGTTAATTTTTTAAATCCACATATCTGTCTCCCTAGCCAGATTCTGAGCGTCCAGACCTCGGACATTGCTTCATAAGCATTTTCTTTTCCCACAGTGCCTATCTCAGGGCTTCGCCCCAGGGAAGCATTAAACAAGTTTGTGGATCAGAAGGACAGGCCATGGCCACCAGTGGCAGGTGGGCATATGGACCCTGAGGAGGGAGCTCACAGGAACATCTCTAACCAGGCAGTCCAGGTCCCTGGGTCTGGAGGGGAGACTGTAGCTAGTTTCTGGTCACCATTACCACTCACCTTGGTGGTTCAAGGCAGGTGCTACAGCAGAGGCAGGCAGCACGGACTCATCTCCTTTGCCCTGGTTTGGGGTAAACCATCGAGCTGCACACTGTCAGTGGGGGATTGTATGTTATGTGACTTATACTCCAACAAGGCTGTTCTTTGTTTTAAAAAAAGTAAGTGCCAGCTGGGCAGTGATGTCCTGCCGTTCTCTGTGCTAGGGGACAGGGTACTGCTGTCCATTGTTCCAGGTCCCCCAGCCACTCGGAGCCGGCCAAGGCCTTTCCAGGTAGGGAGGGACCCTTCTGCTTTGGCTCATCCAGTACTGATGCTGCCAGAGAGTATTCAGGGGGTCCAGTCAGAAGAACTTCGAAACTTCCTTAGATGCTGTGTTGCTGACTTTGAAGCACTAACCTGAGAAAGATGGAATAGACCTACTTCCTTCCTGCCCAGGGCGGCAGTTTTCACCACGACAGTATTTTCCACACTTTGGCCACTTTCCCTAATACTATTTTAGTTTAGGCTGTTTCTCTGTCCCCTTGACCCTGTCAGTGAGGTAAGGAAAAGGCAGAAAATCCTAACTTTACTTTTAACAGTGAGGAAATAAGCAAATCAATGGAAAATAGTTTCTCATCATCCCAAATCTAGAACGTGATCCCCCAGCTCCTGTTTTCAATGGGCGGGCCGCTTGACTTGTGTCCATTTCGGTCTGTTCCCGTCTCGTGACTGCCTGTGTGTTTACGTTTAAGTTGGGATGAGCAGTGTATCCTCTGGTGTTGAGGAGCTGCCAGACTTCAGTGATGATGGCAGCTGTAGTACTGCCGTTGTAGTTGTCTTAAAACACTGTCTCTTTCACTGACTGCTTCACGCTCCATTTGCAAATGTCACTTTGCTGAGTTTGTTGCTGCTTCTTCCCCATTCAATTTTCTGCCTTCCGGGACCTTTTCAAATGAGTGACAGCAAAGGGCAGGCCTGTGATGTGATCTGTGTGTCCATCTGTCTTAATACAGTTACATTCCTGGGAGCAAGACATTCGTGCCAGGACAAAACAAACCAAGAGACAAGTCCTGGTTGCAGCTTGTGAGTTTCCTGCTGTATGACGATTAATGCCCACATCGAGGTTCTTTGTTTTGATTTCGCCTTTGCAGCACAATGAAATCCTTTGATTTCTTTTCTTTCCTAGGGTTCAAGGGTTCTGGTTGATGCACGAGACAAGCTTGGTATTCCTTGGCAGTATTCCGAAAATGAGAAGCACGGGATGTTCCTCATGGCCTTTGAGAACAAAGCAGGGCTGCCCGTGGAGCCTGCCACCTTTCAGCTGTACGTACCTGCTCTGAGCGCGCTCTGGAGGGATTCTGGCATCAGGGAAGCTTTCAGCCGGAGGAGCGAGTTTCAGCTGGTGAGTAAGCCCTCCGTCTGGACTACACAACTATGTTCTTGACCTTTGGTAGAATTTCCTTTAAAAACTGTAAAAGTACAGGCAAGCTGTAAATTGCTCTAAACCCTGATATTTAAGAACAGAAACACATAACAGAGGCTAATTAAGCTATCTAAATGGTTTGAGAGGAACAAAATTAATCAACTCAGGCAGGCTAGATAAATGTTTCTGTCCAAGGAATATGAAGGATTCTTAAAAATAGTCAAGATTGGTGTAACTCAAAGAACTCACATTTTCTAGATCTTGTTCATAGTAGGACATTAATGTGTCCTTAAGAGAACTTTCCAGCTGTGAAGTATGGGTCCTGCCTGGGAAGCTAATCTGAACCCTTCCAAGTTGTCCCCTTAGGATTCTTTCCTTTTATTTTAAGGTCTGAAAGTTTCACACAGCCTCGTCATCTTTGTCACTTAGCTTCATTTAGGATATGAGTCTTTAAACAGAAATTTTGGGGTGTTTAGCCTATTTGCATTCTGGTTTTTTCCTAAGTATCCTTCAACATTAACTGCATGTGAAGATGAGTATCATATTTCTCCTATAACTAGAATAGATGTGCCCGGCTGATATAAACACACCCCCTGGGGGGTGTCCAGAAATCGCACTGACCTTCACATGCCTTTGCCCCTGAGAAACAGGTTCCCAAGTTTTAAGTCACCGGTCCCTTGCCTTTCTTTATGGTGTTGCCATATACTATGTATTTACTTTTAAAAAAGAGTCTTGAGTTTTCCCTGTTTTCAAACTTTACATAAATGGTTTCATCCTGTATGTATTCTTCCGTGACTCTCAGTTTTCACCCAGTATTTTGAAATTTATTCATGCAGTGCATGTGGCTGTGGTCCTTTCATGTTCGCTGCTGTCTGCTGTCCTATTGTGTGGATGTACTCGCATGCATCCGTTCTCTCGTGTGTATACTTTGGAATCGTTTTCCATGTTTTGCTATTACAAACAAATCTGCTGTGCTCTCTCCCGTGCGCCCCCAGGTGCACGTGTTCAGGGGTCTCCAGGACATCTACCAAGGAGGGGAATTGGCCAGTTGTAGGGCATATGTGCCTCCAAAGAGACAAGATATGTCACGTTATTTTCCAAAGTGATTATACCAGTTGTGCTTCTGCCAGCAGCGCAAAGCTCCTGTTGCTCTCATCCTTGCCAGTCTTTGGTGTTATCAGACTTCAGAAATTTTTAAGAATCTCTTTTAGCCGAAGGAGCCAAGGTATGCTCTATTTTTATAGTATCACCTTAGGGTTTAATTGACGTTTCCCAGACTTATTGGCTGTATGTGTTTCTTCTTCTGGGAAATGCCTATTCATGTCTTTTGCCAGTTTTTTACTAGTGAGTTATGTGTATTTTTCTCATTTATTTGTGGGGTTCTGCACAGTCTGCCTGGTAATCCTCTCAGTTCAGCTTCCATGTACTCTTCACCTGATCTCGCCTGATGCTCACGTCTTACACAATCGTAGCACACTCATCAAAAGCGGGAAACTGACGGTACGGTACTGTTAATTAACCCGTAGACCTCATTCAGGTTTAACCGCTTTTCCTCTAAAAGCCCTTCTTACAAGGCAGGATCGGGCTCTGGACGCCACCCTGCATTTAGTCCTTGTTTCTCCTGAGTCTGCTGTCAGTGACAGCCCCTTGGTCTCTCCTGGGTTTTCATGACCTTGACACATTGGAAGAGCACCAGTCAGTCATTTTGTAGGATGTCCCTATTTGGGTTTGTCTGGTGTTTTCTCATCATTAGAATGAGATGATGCGTTTTTTGGCAAGGAAACCACTGAAGTGATGTGTCTGCTCAGAGCATCCTGTCAGGGGTACATGCTCTCGATATGTCCAGTTCCTGGCGATGTGAGCCTTGATTACTTGGTTAACAGGGTGTTTGCCAGGTTTCTCCACTATAAAGTTACTACTGTTCTCTGTAACATAAATATTTGGGGGAGATACTTTGCAACTATGCAAATATCCTGTTTCTCTGCAAGCTTTTGACCACTAATTTTCCTGTCCATCGGTGGATCTGAAGGATGACATTTTTATAACTCTTTCATTTTCACATTCATTCTCAAGTTAAGTTTAAAAATTAAAGTGAAAGAGTCAGATGAACTAGAAGACAGAGTTGCCCTAGAAAGGAAATATTAATCTTCTAAAGGGCAGGAGTATCAGAAACAGCGAGGGAATGCACAGCATCTAAGTGTGGAATTGGGGTTTAAGTCTTCCCTTCCCCCTCCACCCCAATAAACTCACATGGTCTGGGGAAGAATATTCTAGTGTCTTCAGAGCTTGGATGGAAATTGCTGTTATCAATTGAGAATTTACCAAAGAAGGAAATATAAACGTCCTGAGCTGAATATTTGCAAGTAGCGTTTAACAGCGTGGTGGGATGGTTTCGTGAGACTTGTGCGTTCGCCGTCCTCGGTGGGGCGCAGTGTTTTGGAGCAGGGAGGGCCCTCCTGGCTGGTACACGGAGCCCTTGGCTCGCTGCACCCGGGAAAATAAGCCCAAAGGTCAGGGCTTCCCAAGGCCCTATCTTTTTTTTTTTTTTTTTTTCTCAACCGTGGCATGCAGGGATCTTTGTTCCCTGACCAGGCATTGAACCCGTGCCCCGTACAGTGGAACCGCAGAGTCTTAACCACTGGACCACCAGAGAAGTCCCCAGGGCCCTGTCTTCTTAGCAATCACTGTGAGGAACTCAGGCCTAAAAGGCCAGTCTGCTTATTTCTTTCCATAGTCACTTACTAGTTAAGCATTTATGGGGCACCTCCTGTGTGCGAGGCACTGTGCAGTATGCTGGGGACATGGCAGGGAGTAAGACCAAAAATGAGCCTGTCTCCAGAGAGCCTTTGCTCTGGACCTGAAGCTGGCGAGTGACTAGGGAGAGGTCGGCTCCAGGTGGGTCCGTCATCCCATCGTTTTGATCTTACGCTTCAAACAGCCCACAGCCCGACTTCGTGAGGGTGTGGTTACCTGGCAGGTGCTCACGTGTTGTGTGCTTTTGAACTGTGATGACTGAAAGCAGATAAGGAGCTGCTGGTTTTGTTCATTGGAGGGTGGGTGTCTGAGTGTCTGTTACGCTGATGTTTCGTACTTTTCTATATTTTTATTTAAAAAAATTATAGAGCATCTTGTTAACTCGATGGACAGTAGGCCCTTAAGAGTCTTTATGTCAAGATAGACAGTTGCAACCTAAGTGTCTTAACACGGTGTGCTCAGTTTTCTCTTCAGATCCTTTGCTTAGTGTCAGAAACCTTTCCAGGGTGATGTTTCAGCAACTAGTTTTGTTACCTTTCCTCCCTCCCCAGGCGACGGAACTCTTAGAGCCTTTGACAGGCTCTCAGCGGCGACCCAGCCGCCGTGAGACCTGCTGTCAGCCCGGTGTTAGATGCCGCCTGTTTCCTCTGCTCCCGGCTTTCCTTGCCGTTCCAGGCAGAGGTGGAAACAAAAAGGGGGACAAGAAGGGCAGTGTCTGGTGACCGCCTGGCGGGGCCTTTCCTCCTCAGAGGGGCCTCTCCCTGTCCCGAAAAGGGGAAACCTTGCCCTTCTCGCAAGTCACCTGTTCCTGCATATTCACTGATGTCAACTGCCATTTAGACACAGGATTCGATAGCACTTCTCTGGCTTCATAAAAAAGAAAGGAAGATAACCTTGCTATGTTAGACCTTATCTTTTAAAACACATTTGAGGAAGACATAGCCGAACACTAAAAGAGAGGTTTTTGTCATAAGTATAAGTCACATGAGTATCGTCTACTTACATGCCCTTTCTCCAGTAAGAGAATTTCGAACTTGTTAAACACATCTGGCAAATTATCATTAACTAATGTGCTTATGATATAGCACATGGGTAGTATTTCCGTGATCTGCTTTCTGTTACATACCCCTTTTAACCTGGGGTCTAGTTCTGGAATGGTGCCGCAGGTGCACCGCTGGTCTTTTGTGTGTGTGTAAGTCCTGCACTGATAGTGACTGGGACCTTGTACATCACGGTCCTCCTTGCCGGGCGGTGTGGTGGGTGCTCTTTCCGTGGGCCTTTTCTGTGTGCTGGGCACTCTGCCGAGGTCAAGTGCAGTTTCCTCAAAGAGCTGGGAAGACAGATATCCAAGCAAACAGTCGGAATAAAGTGTGCTAAGAAGTATAACTGAGGAATATCCAGCTACATTAGGCGTAAAGGAAAAAGGTAGGCAATCCCACCTGGCAGGAGGAGTGGGGAGATGTTTTTGGAGATCTTCTCAAGATTAGGTAGGAACGAACCGGGGGCACGATTGGGAGCGAGGTGGCAGGGGGAGCCTCGCCAGGAAGCTGCAGAGCTCCGCGCAGTGGTGCTGCCCCAGGAGAGGCCGCCCCGGCCGGTCGGCAGGCTTTGGTGTGCAGGGAACAGCCCTCCCACTCAAACTGCCTTAACGGTAAGGGACTCGGTTGGCCAAGCGCGGGGCTGGGGGCGGGGCGGGAGCTTTACGTGTGGTTTGCCCTGCTTCTCCGCGCTTTTCGTGCCTCTGCCCCTCCTCTGTGCCAGGTCAGTTCTGGCCTGGCTGCCCCTGAGCAAGGCCTCAGCAGTGCCCGCCACCTCCCGGAGCAGAGGGGCCCCGTGTGGGGAGATGCTGTCCAGGGCTGCCGAGGCCTGGGTGAGTCTCCACCCCTCGCCCTCCTGCCGCGGGCACGTGGTCTGCAGGCAGCACAGCGGGGGTGGGGGGTTGACCACGCGGGCCACACCGAGCAGCTGGGAGTCACCTGTAAGCAGAGGGGCCAGTGAGGGGTATAAAGAGAGAGGAGCGGACCCGATTGCCAGTGCTTCCAGAAACCTCTGTCGGTAGCACGTACGATGGTCTGAAGGGGGGCAGACTGGAGGCGAAGGCCGTGGGGGGGCTCCTGTAGGAGTCCGGTTAAGAGACTGTGAACTTGGACCTGGGCAGGAGGGGTTCCCTTGGTCTTAGGATTTACTGCTCCTGGTTCTTTGCACAGCTCTTTGCTTGTTATCTA